AAAACTGAAGCAGAAATTACCAGCTTAATCCCTGGGACACTGTACAAATTCACCGTATTTGCTGTAGTGGCTGCTGATAATACGACAGGAGAAGGTGTGTCCATAGAGCTGTATACAAGTAAGTCACAGTTTTTTGCATCCTTGTTCGTGGTGGTCTGTGCTTTGCTATGCAGGACAGGGTTCTGCCCACCTGCCCCAGTGTTTGGAACACGATATTATGTTAGGCAGAAGTGCTGCACACAGCCTGCCTGGTGTCAGCAATGGTAATGTTTGAAGGGGTTTCTGTGCAGGGGGTTTTGTTGCCCTCTCTTTCCTCTGGGTGAAGGCCTCAGGTTGTTATTTGGGTTGCCTTCCACGGAGTGTGCATGGTGCCTGGGGAGCTTCCCCTTTTGGAGGTGGGCCCGTGGATGCAGCTGGGTTTGGGCAGCACGGGATGGTGTGTCTGTCAGCCCTGCTACTTTGCTCTTCCCATCAGCCAATAAGAGAAGGCTTCGTTACTTCTGCATTCCTCATGTTAGGCATTGTATTTTCCTCCTTGTTGTGCTGCCTTGTCCTTTGCTTTGTTTTTTCCCATTTTGACTGAGGTGAAATGTATCTGGCCCAGAGCTCCTGATTGGCTATTCCAAAGGGGCTCTGGGATGAATGTGAAGAATTGCTGGACTGTGTAGGTGCTACTTGGCTACTCAAAATTCTGAATCTGACTATAACATGGAAACATAGTTGTGCCTCTGCTTTTTTTGTCTGTCACAAAATGTTCCTGAGTGCTTCTGGAGTCTCTTTGTGACTTTAACAGAGCCCAGCTTTTTTTTCCTGTATTGGGGTAGAGTATGCTGGTCTCTGATGTTTCTTATGGAGCACTGATGATACTTCATATAACTATTCCTACAGGATAGAGATCAAAAGTCATGACTCCTCTAGAAACTAGGCATCCCTTATCACCAGGTGTCAGAGGTGGTGTTCCAGGGGTTTGCCTGTAATCTCATATAATAGCACTGTATTTGTAGGAATAACTGATGGTGTTACTGAAGAAAAAGAAATAGTTATATAATGCAGTAGAAGTAACTTCCAGTCAGTCACATCTGTTTTTACTAAGACTATTTCTTCTAGATGTGGTCATAAGGTTGCAGCTTTTCTATCATGTCCTAGAAGGTTCTCAGCCACACTGACTTGTTATCATTGCTGCTTTTAAGGATGGCTTCTGCTGTGTTCTTAATGGACAGAGATTAAATTAATTCTCTTATTTGTTGGCCCCTAAGAATTTTACATAATTATACAGGGATTTAGTGGTAGTTTACATACTACTCTGAAAATGTTCATAGATTAATATGTTAAAGGGTTGAACAGTACTTTGAAAAGGTTGCTGATCTTGATAGATACTCAGCCTATATTTTCCCAGTAACCCTATCTGTAGAGGAGGTAAAGAGCACAGAATAGGTCTGTGTAATGTGTTAAATTGTTGTCTTCCTCATTGGTTAACAAGTCCTTGTGTAGGCAGTAGGTGCCATGTAGGCATCTTTTTAAAAGGGGAATACTCAAGTTTTCCAAGCATTTATACACATAACATATAAATAGACAGCTTTTTCTATTAAGGGCAAGGCTTGATTTCTTACTCTTTTTTTTTTATTCCTTTTTTCTTTTGGCAGTACCTGTCTCAGTGAATTCATTTCAGTGTGAACCAGTGGCCAAGCAGCCTTTCCTAATGCTGAAGTGGAAGTGTCCTTTGGGTAACAACTCTGGCTTCAAAATTGAAATATCTAATACAAATATTTCACAGTCGGCTCCCCGCTGCACAGTAGAAGGCTTTGAGCAAACCTTCCAAACAGCAAGTTTACGTTTTTTTAGCACCTATAATGTTACTATCATAACTCTTTCAAATGGCACTAGAAGCTCTCCAGTGAACAAGTTGTGTCACACCAGCATTACTGGTAAGCATTAAGATCTGAGAATGAAAGGTACTTGTAGGACAAAAATACTAACTTTATGATTGCAGAATACCAGACTTGGTATGCCCTACATCATCAACCTGCAGATTATGAATAAAACAGTACATTAATTCATAGTCTGTGATAAACAATAAATATGCATTATGTGAACAGTGTTGGTATCACAGCCTTTTCTTGTCTGGTAACCTTTTATCAGTGTTTAATGTAATAAACATTTTTTTTGTTTATAGACCCACCTCCTCCAACCGAAGTTCCTTCAGTCAAGGCCATCAGCCACAGCTCATTGTCTGTTGAATTCTCTGATTTTGATTCACTGAATGGTCTATTAGAAGCCTATGCAATAATGATTACAACAGAACATCAAAGTAAGATGTGTATGATATTACCATGTAACTGAAACAATTTACTAGGCAGCATTGTTGTACACTCTAAATAGGTGTTAAACAGATAAAGAAGAAGCAGACTCAGAATTTCCAATGATTTTTCAGAAATTGAGGCAAATACCTTGCTTGCTTGAAGTCAGGTCACTCCTTGTTCTCAGAAGGTGCCTGTTTTCACTTAGTCGTTTCCTGCCTGACTTATCTTTGTACATAAATCTCGTATGTGTATTGCCCCTGTGCTGTTGTCACCTTGATTTGCCAGTGATTCCCTTCTCCAAGGTTTTGTAGTATCCTTTCTTTCCCCACAAAATAATTTTCAGAGCAGCTAATAGAAGCAGCTTTGTAATATGGAATGTTTTTCCCCTTCATTCTTCAGCTGAAAAATGCCTGCAGTAAGGTCTTAAAAGGAAAAGAGCTTTTTTCCTGATTTTACTCAAAACACTTTAACTAAGAGAGATGGGATGTGGGTGGAAGGTTTAAATATCATTGACAGTATTAATGGAAGTTAAATGCCATGGAAAACTAGAGAGTAGCCTATCAGACTGGTCTATTTAAAGCATCAGAACTGAGAAATAGGTAAATGTCTCTGATAGGTGAATGTCTAGTTATAAATCATTAAATTAAGGAACTTAGTTTTGTTGCATAGGTTCTGCTTGAACAACTGTTCCTTTTTTCCAGTGCACTGGAGGAATAAGGCACCTGATGGAGACAGTTTCTGCTAAGTAGGATTCATGCTTATCCTTTGTTACAACACTGGAAGTTCATTTTGCAGAATTTTGATTATAGCTCTTCCTTCAGTGGTTTTCCATTGCAATATATATCCAAAAAATGCATGTTTATATGCGTATATATATATAAAATATGTTGCTATGTTGCATCACATCAGTACAGAAAATGCCTCTTTTTCACATGCCTACTCAACTGCCACAGAATTCCTGATTTGAATGCCAGTTCCTTGCATGCAGCTCTGCTTGAAACTTCAGCCAGTCCTAGTTTTCACGAGCAGATTTGGTGCATTCTTCTGGTGCATTCCTTCTGGCTTGAATTGGAAGGTATTCAAGGAGGACTTGTAGGATGTGACTGAGAGAAATAAGGGAGGAAAGTTCCCCACATTTGCAATGTAGAGCGAGTGCTTTGATGGGAGTAGAAGACGGCATTACAGAAGACAGCCAAGCATCTCTTCAGCTTTATTGTTAAAGTAGCACAAATATTCTTGAGATGTTTCTCTGTTCTAAATCAGTCATGGTTACCTTTAGGATAGACAGAGGGAACTTCATTCTGTTGTGTAAGAAATGGTGTTTGAAATGTCTTAGGGTGGTATTCAATGCATCTACAAGGAGCTGCAGGTATAATCAGGGATGTACATCCTGTTGGAATGGAAACTAGGGACAAGACAGAGCATAACATATCTCAGATATATTGAACATCCATTTCTAAGCACTTGAGTTAATTGCAACCTCATCTGCTTTTAATGAGACTAGGTTAGTGGTTTAGAACAGTTGTCTTTGCACCCTGCTGCTGCAGAGTTACAGGGGCAGAGAGCTTTGCTGCTGGTGGTAGATCACCCCTTGTCTGCACAACTCTAGAAAAATTAACAGAGCTTTTCCACCTTTCAGAGCCTCCTGCAAGGCTTCTCCTTTTGAAAGGTGCATTCAGTATTACACCTACTTTTAGAAGCTTTGTAAAGGCTACAAGTCAGTATGGAGCAAACTTCTGTCAAATAAGTGAGATTCTTTGTCCTCCCTCAGCACTGGGAAGATTTGTCAGTTGGCTTGCTCTTGAGCTGTTGGGACAACTGCTAAGTTGAGCTTATTACCTCTTAGGTTACATGTGCATCAACTGTGTAATTGCCTCAAGGTTCTAGGGTTCATCTATAAGAACAGACACTGTCAATTGGTGCTGTTCTGCAAATACTGTCCTGTTGGTCACTGATCACTGTGGTAGCCTGTTCTTAATCTTCTGAAGGGGAAACTGTTCTAACCATTGTTTTGTCCAGTGCTTGTCTATGTCAAGGAAAGGCAGAAATTACCTCTTTCATCTCTTACAGTTTAGGTGTGAGACTTCTTGTAGGATAGAACAAGGAACAAGATCAGGACAAGTCTAGTGTCCACTCTAAATGAAGCCTGATGCTGTTTGGGTAGCACAAATGCTGATGGGTTTTTTCTATGCCATTTGCATTTTACTCTCTACATACAAGATTTGATAGAACATATATGGATATAGCTGACATGGCTGGGGAAGTCTGTCCACGAGGATGCCTGGCTCCAACATTCCTTTATTCAGAAGCTCCACTATACATGGTAGAAGTAAAACTAATAGCAAGTTAAAACAAATAACACTGGGGAGAGGTGGTGCAGTAGATTGCACTTCAGTAGAAGAGGTTTCTGAGATTATCTGTCACTCTCAGCCTTTCATTTCAGGCAGTACTTGTGGAGGAATGACAACTGTGGTTAATGTAACCAACTCAGCCACTGTGCCAATTGATACAAAACCAGGGAATGAATTATATCCATGGTGTTGTTTTTTTCCTGAAGGTTCTGAGTCTTTGAAGTCTAAATTGAACAACACATACAAAGATTTCCGGAAGAAGACAACAACTGCCTATGTTACCTATGTCATAAAAACAGAGCAGGCAGAATCACATTCTTCCAGTTCTCAGAATGGTAAAAACATCATTAATGTAGGCAAGGGAAATACAATATATGGCTACGAAAATGGACCATTGATCCCTCTTCATTCATACAGGTATTTATTTCAAACCACTCTATTGTTAAATTTTCTGCTGTTGAAATCTAGGAGATAAACTAATGGAAAGATTACAGATCTTGCTAAAGGCTGTTAAAACCCTGTAATGTATCTGGTTTTGTTTTTTCTTATTCCTTCCTTTTCAACAGGGCATGTGTTGCAGGTTTCACTAATATAACCTTTGTGGCCAACATGATTGAGGGGGAAGATAGTTATGTATCATTTTCACCCTGTTCTGAACTGGTTTTACTACCCCAGGATCCAGGTACAGTTCATGTCAAATAACTGTAGGACTGGTGGCTTGGCACATACGCAGTATGTGGAGATTCCTTAATTATGGCAAGTTTCATAATATCAAAACACCTGTGGGTTTCTCTGTATGAACTGTTCCTAGCTTTGCAGTGGCACTGCTCTGTAAATTCATACTTTGCTAGGTCTGTGGGTGATCCCTTTTTTCCATGTAAGATTCCGCTGCAGGAGTAGCCAAAAGCCGTGCTAGTCATGGCATGCTGAAAGGGATTGGAGGACACAGTGAGACTTTGGTATAGCAACAAGTGGCAAATAGCAATTGATGGTCTCACAGTTCTGTTAAAGTAGAAGCAGGTGTATTAGAATACAGACACTGGTCCTGTGATCTCAATTTTCCATTAATTGAATAGTTTCTGGTTCTTATCCTTACTGAAGTTTCAATCCTGGTACTGCCAAAGGACAGTAAAGACAAGATTTTTTAGTAGAGTGGAGCATGCTTGGTTAGTCATTTGCAAGGTTCTGCTGTAGCATGTTGATTCAGTTAGTTACTGAAGAGGAAAATGAGTAATACTTGTTCTCTTTTGTCAGGTGTTGTTGCTGGAGTGGTTATTGGATGCCTCTTGGCTATCTTTGCTGTAGTTGCTATAGGGGGGTTCATATTCTGGAGAAGGAGAAGGTAATGTGTTTGTTGTATTGGTTGTATTGAGCAGCAGGGTTTCACTTCAGTATCTTTCTCCTAAGAGGCCTCTCTCTGTCATGATACAAATGTCAAAACATTTTAAAATACATTATATAAAAATATTGTTTATATGTTACAGATAAGGGTTGAAGTATCAAACCACTTGTTTAATAACTTCATTTAAGCCCATAGTTACAAACTAATGAGTTGAAAAGAGCTAAACAAAATGAATTTTGTTTGGGTGGGAAGGGACCTTCAAGGTCCTTCAGTTCCAGCCCCCCCTGCCATGGGCAGGGGCACCTTGCAGTATCTCAGGTTGCTCAGAGCTTCATCCAGTCTGGCCTTGAACACTGCCAGGGTTGGGGCATGCACAGCTTCTCTGGGCAACCTGTGCCAGCACCTCACCATTCATGAATAGGGATGAAGTCATTCAGTCACAACTGAGCAAACATCTCAAATAATTGTGCTAAAAGTAATTGGGTGTAATTGCACCTCAGATGGTTTGATTTTAAATTACCCATCAGTCATTCTTAATTGCTTGATGGCCTGTCATATGAAACTTCTATTCTGGAATTTCCAGAAGCTGATGAGTTTGAGCTGGTCTCTGTTTCCAATCTTGCTCAAATAATCTGGGATGTAAGAGTACACAAAGGCTTTTTCCTACTTCTGACCATGTAGTACATACTTTCTGTGGAGTTAGCCTCAGGGCCCTTAGTCCAGTTTTCTTAGCTGCTTTGATTAACTGCTGTTATTTTTACAGTTGTGTCTAATAGCTGTACAACCATGGGAAGAGCTTCCTTTAAAGCTAGCAGCATTTCTTCTCATTCAGCTACCACTGAATGACTGACACATCTCTGAGCATTTCCTGTAGGGATTCTGGGATTAGTAGCAGTTCTCCTGAGATATCAGCTAGTGGTGCAGATCCCTCAGGTGTACATCTTCCACCAAAATATGTGCTTTGTGTCCAGGCTTTATACTCTGGTTCCAACAGAAAGAAGCAGTCCCATTGCACAGCATCACCAAAAGAAGGATGAGATTTTGGGTTTTTTATTTTTTTTTTTAAGTTCTAGATGTAAACTCCAGGGAGTTTGGGGTGGTTTTTTTCACAGAAAAAAGATGCTTTTAAAGAAATTGTTCTCAACAGGCACAGGAAACAGATAAGAAATCTCATATAAATTCCATTGACTTCTACTGTGAACCTATTGTGTCTTTTTTCTTTCACATTATAGGAAAGATAAAAGAAATACTGATGTGTCATTTTCTCCAATTAAGTAAGTTCATATCTTTTCTCATGGTATTTTCTGAGCTCAAGCGGTATTTGCAAAAATTACTCAGAACTCAGATACTTGTTTTCTCAGATGCAAGTTTTATAAAACTCCTGCAGTTTTATAGAGAATTTTGAAGTATTAATTCCTCATGGAAGTGAAAGATGCCCGCATGCAGACTGAAAATAATCATGTTGATTGAGACTTCTAGAGCCACCACAGGGATTTGAGTGTTCACTTCCTGAATCACTATTAGACAGACAAATGCTCCACATGGTTTTGAGGAACAGGACATATGAATGAAACAGACTTTGTGCACTATGAGGGAACAATCCAAATTATTGATAAAATACAAAAAGGCAAAATATGTTTTGTGATCTGAATTTTTCTTTTTTTTTAATGACTATTTTGTGCTGAGCCATTCATCCAGATAATGTTGTGATTGTAAAAGCTGGCCATGGAGGGGGTAACCACAATGTATTGAAAATCACAGGCACTGCAACTGAATCATTGGTTCAGGCACCAATTTTTGTGCTGGTGGAAAGCCATGGTCAGAACATCCCATGGAATCCCACCTCTGGAGACTTCAATGGTTGGGATAAAATACACCAGGGAATGGGGTCGATGCAATGGAAGCAGCTGACTGACACCTTATGTGATGTTTCTCTCCTGAAGGATGCACTGTTCTCTTCTTGATTTAACAGAGCAGTTAAATGCTATGCTTGATACCCTGTCCCCTGTAAATGCACCATTTTGTGGCTGCAACTAACATTCATGCTTTCAGTCTTAGATTCACATAATGAAAAATACAACTGCATGTGTCTAATCAGCCTTTTTTTCTTCCCCTCACCCTCTTCTGAAGAATCAAGAAGTAAGTAAAGCATATTTTTCTAACACATTAACTGGATTAATTCATGGCTTGTATACCTAACACCAGTTGCTGACACATGGCTTTTTTCATTTTAGATCAAAAATGATTAAAGTGGAGAACTTCGAGTCATACTTTAAGAAGCAGCAAGCTGACTCCAACTGTGGTTTTGCTGAAGAGTATGAGGTATGTGCCCTCAGTGAGGAGAGAACTTAATGACAAATATTTCTGGAAAAACAAATCATCTTTCCTATGGAGCATGCACAAGGCTTACTGAAGGAGAAGAGAAGGGTCCTTTTTTATAGAGATGATTAAGCTGTGTGTATAGCCTTCCCTTCCCTTATGCAGCTCCAAATTTAGTTGAAGTGCATGATAAATACTTCCTGCCCTGAATTATTGTCTCTGACTGTGAGCTTTTAGCATAGCCTGTTTGGCAGACCTCTCACCAGAGAAATCTTTGCCCTAGTCATATTCAGAGATAGTCTAGGGGGACTATATAATTTCTCTGCTCTTCAGTTTTCTCATCTTGGGTTGTTTTGTGGGTTTTATACATATCAAGACAGGTCTGTTGCTCACTGACTTCTGTAGTGTGTGGGTGTGATTTGCAAACCACACCAGTAAATAGCTCAGTCAGAGAAACAGCAATTGTGATTTGATTACTGACTATAAGAGTTTTTTAATGAAATGTGTTAAAGCTCAATTGTTGTAAGGAACAAAGGACAGGAAGGAAGTGTCAGGGAGGATTCTGTGTTGTCATGTGTGCTGTTAAAGAATCTCATTCTGTTTCTCACCTCCTCAAAGCTATTAATTGACTTTCTTTTTCAAATTCTGTCTCTTTGTACTTCACAGGCTGGTGCTCTAACTTATCTTCCTCTCAGATTTTGCTTCCTTCAGTTGGTTTATGATGTGTTTGCTCCTCTCTCTCTGTAATGTATGCAGAGCTTATGCAGTAGTTCCCTGCCTTGAGGATGGAAGGAGCTGGCATTGATATCAGTGTCTGTTTCTACAAAACTGCTTCCAGGCTTTTAAAGTCCATCTGTGGGTTTTAAACATGCTGCTATTCCTAAATTCTGTATTAATCCCTTCTCTATCAGATTTGCCACTGTCAGCCTCCCACTCTGTAAGATGATGATTTTTATTGACATTTATCCTAGTTTAACATGCCTACTTTTAGTACAGGACATGAGTGTTTGGGCTATTTTTCTGTTTGTCATGTTTCTGTATGATTGCTAAGTCAGGACCAGATGCTCATGAATCCTTTTATTGTAGGAACTCAAGTCTGCTGGTGTTCACCAGCCCAAATTTGCTGCTGAACTTCCTGAGAACAGGGGGAAAAATAGATACAACAATGTCTTACCATGTGAGTTATTCTCTATGGGTTTGCATCTTCTACTGTTTGAGCTTTTAAGTGAAAACCGTTGGGTTTGGCTAATCTGACTTCAGTAGTACCCAGAGGTTTTAAATATCATTTTCCAAATGAGTTAATTTGGGCTGCTGCTTTCTCAAAGGCACTATATAAGCAAACCTGAAAGAGCCTTCCCTCAAGGATATTTATTCAGAAAGCTTCTTTAAAGAACTTCCGCTTAACTTTGTGTGTTTCTCATGAATGGAAAATTAATCTGGGTTGAAAACACAAGACTGTAACAGTTGACCACAGACAAATAATTGTGCAGAGCTATGAGAAATATTAAGACCCTGCTGGTCAGATTTGCAGATGAAGTAAGATTTTAAGCCCTGTCAAGCTGCCTGTGGGCATTCCAATGTAGCAGAGAGTTAGAAGTAGTTGAAAAGTGAACAGTGGCAGGTACTTAAGGATGCTTTGGAAGAAAAACATCAGCTGCCATGGCAGCAGGAGACAAATCACTTTTTTTAATCCAGTAATTAAAACTGTAGTAAATTTTGTGTTGGATTAAAAATTACATAAATCAGCAATACCAAACCATATTTTAAATCAAAATAATCTGTGTTTTTTGAGTGTTTATCCTGGCCACTCCTTTTTCTGAAGGCTACTGCTATTTATGATTCCTAAGCTTACATTCTTATTCTTAAAATGCACATTGAACATCTTTTATTTAGAAACCATACGTTAGATAAACAGTATTTTGCTGAAAGATTACAGTTTGAAAACTCATAATTGTCGTTTCCTTTTTTCTTTCTGCAGATGATATTTCCCGTGTTAAACTTTCAAATCAAAGTTCTGGAACTGGTGATTATATTAATGCAAACTATATGCCTGTAAGTTGCTTTATTAGCTGAAATGAAATATAATGTGTATTTTTCTGATGTAAGCATGAGGGCTCATAATGGTATTTCAAATCACCTTTTATTTCTCACTGATGTGTGTGTGTGTGTATATATATATATATATGCACATTTATTTTGTGTTTTTTCTTTTTAGGGCTATAACTCAAAGAAGGCATTTATTGCTGCACAGGGTCCATTACCCAATACTATAGAAGACTTCTGGCAAATGATTTGGGAAAAGAATATCTACTCTATTGTTATGTTGACAAAATGTGTGGAACAAGCCCGGGTATGTTATTATCAATACTGAATTGTCCCTTGAAGGCAGCTGCATCTCTTGTAATTTTGCTGTTAACTTAGTGGTTTGGAGACTGCCCCCTGTCTTTTAGCAACCATCTTCTTGGTGGAAGACTGTTTTCTAAATTTAAAAAGCACTTTTTTTAAGCTTTTTCGTATTTTTCATATCTGCTGACTGCTGGAATAGATTGTCTCAGTAGGGTTGTGGAATCACTGTTGTTACTGGTGGGTTCTTCTCTCTAAAGAATGATTTTGATACATCTTCTCTTGCTCTGGTATAGCCCTTAAGAAGAGTGACGTGCTTCCTAGCACTGCTTCAGGTGGTATGTTATTTAAAAGTGAGTTTCATTGCTGTGTGGTGTGTCTAACACTGTAACTTTCTTGTTAGACAAAATGTGAGCAGTACTGGCCCGACAAACAACCCAAGAGCTATGGTGACATTATTGTGACAATGGTTTCAGAAGTTGTCCTTCCAGAATGGACAATAAGGGACTTCACTGTAGAAAAGGTGAGGACCACCTTGATTTTTGGTTGTTAGCGTGTAAATAATCTTGCGCTTATGCAGGTACCTGTAATATCTTCTGGACTGAACAATTAGTCCCATCAGCAAATACAATGTAGTAGATATGAGCTTGGAGTAAAGCACAAGGAAATTATTTCAAAGTATTCTCTACCACAGCAGAAGAAAGAGGGAAACAGGAATATCATTGGTCAAATTGCTGCTCAGTTGTACCAGGCATCTATGATGAAGTTGTGCTTGGCCCAGTACATGTGTCAAGAAGCCCAACTGTTACTCCCCTGAAGCCAGATTTCATTGTTTTTTTTGTTAGTTTTTTTAATGTCTACTCTTCCTGCAGTCCAACACCCCTGAGAGCCACATGGTGCGCCAGTTCCATTTCACCTCCTGGCCGGATCATGGAGTGCCAGAGACAACAGACCTTCTTATCAACTTCAGGCACCTTGTTCATGAGTACAACAGCCAGAATCCAATGGACTCTCCTACTCTGGTGCACTGCAGGTAGGAAGAAGGTGTTTCTGTTAGACTTTTGTCTTGTGGTTTTCTTACACTCAATTCCATTTCAGTGAGATTAAAACCAAAGTAAGTCTCTCTGTAAGGACATGGGCTATTTACCTTGTCAAACTAAAACTTTTGCCCAGGGCTTCAGAAACTAGCAGTGCTGTGTAGGTAGCAAAGGAAAGGATACAAAATATCATAAGAAGAGAGCATCTCTCCTAGTCTGAAAAACTGAATTGGAAAAGATGTCCTTCCAAGAGCTTGTATATATAATGCTGTGCACGTGCAAGGCTGAGAAGTCCCTTAGTGGTGGTAAGAGCCACCCCTCTGTGCTGCCAAAACTTTTATTGCCTGTGCCACTGAAATTGTAGGTGGCATCATCCTGGCTTCCCTGGCTTTTTTACCAGGCCAGCAATGAGCAGGTGGTTGAGAGGAAGCATAAACAGGCTGTCTGTGTCGTTGCAGCGCTGGCGTCGGGAGGACGGGGACATTCATCGCCATCGACCGCCTGATCCAGCAGATGGAGATGGAGAGCAGCGTGGATGTGTACGGAGTGGTGTACGACCTCCGCATGCACCGGCCCCTCATGGTGCAGACCGAGGTGAGGCTCTCTCCATCCAGCAGCATGTTCCTCAGATGGGCATAATCATCCAGATGTAGCTCTGAATGACAGGACAAGAAGACATTAAGGAGTTCCAATTGCTCATCTTTTGACTTCCCTCCTTCCTGCCTCATCTCTTCCCTGCAAAAGGAGTTGCAGCCAGGGACTGTAGTACATCCAAGCAATGTCTTAACAGAGTACTTTGCAGGACTGGCATTTGCAGCTGGAAGGAATCAAATCCTGAAGGAGACTTTTTTTGCAGACTAGTTTTACCCATGGGGTTTTATCTTTTAGCTGTGAGCCAGAATTATCTGGAGTCAAGTGGTCCCGGTGTGCATCCTTTGTGTTCTGCAGGAATACAAATATTTCTATGGAAATTACCACTTTGATCCAGAAAGGTGTATGGACTAAGGTGATTTTAAAAAGGCTGTGAAAACGCCATCATGAAAGTCTTTTAGGATAGCATTAGGTGCGACAGATCTGAGTTCTAGACAGCAAAACTTGATCCTAGGTTTTTTACTGGGGGGTTGATCAGATTACATCATGAGGTCCTTTCCAGCTCTATTTTCTGTAAACTATACATATAGATTCTAAAACATGCACTGTGATAACACTCAGTGCAGTGTCCAAACCTATATTCAGAAGCAGAATTACTTCCAAAATCAGGTATTTTTTAGAAATGTATTTCTTTCTCTCTTTCTCCCATCAGGACCAGTACGTCTTCCTAAACCAGTGTGTCATGGATATCATTAAATCCAAGAGAGAGAGGCAAACTGACCTTATCTACCAAAACGTGACAGCAATGGCAATCTATGAAAACATCACACCTGGGCCAGCCTTTGGGAAGGCCAATGGCTACCACGCATAGTCCAGAAGGAACCCAGTGCCTCCAGGAGATGTTACCTGCCCCTAGGAAAGGGAGGTGTCCAACTTGTGTTTGCTGGGATTATGTGCAGTGTCTCATGTCTAGCTTCTCCAGTTGTCTGCATTCAAAGGTGTAATCTGCAGGAGGAAAAACACAATGCTGGCAGGAGCTGCAGACTGATGTTACAAAAACCCAAACAACAAAACCCAAGCAAAACTTTTTAAAGTTAACAGAGGAATCTTGTTTCTTTTTCTTGGGAATTTAACAGTACTGATAGGTGAAATAGCATTTGCAGTTTGAACATTGAACTAGAGTTTAAATATTAAAATAATAACACAAGCTTTTTATTACAATTTTATATGATTTCATTTACAGACACCAGGCTGGTGGGTTGTTTTAATATATTTGATTATAAGTTTCAGGAACATATTTTATCTACTGTATCTGGTTACTTAGTTAATAGATATGTGCCTCTGTGATCTATTTTTTTCTGTTCCTTTTTATTTAAAAAAGGAGTACAAATGGCTCCTTCAAATGGACATTTATACTTGGAAATTGTGCCTTTTCTAGTTGCTACTCTAGGGAAAAAAAACAGCAGAGATTCTATTTTTGTACTGAAACTCTTAATGAGAACACAGATTTTTTTTTTTTTTTTTAAATAAGGCTTATTTCAAACTTAACTGTAGTTGCACTGTTGGCAGGACTCTCCAGAAGTTTGGAGGTGAGCTTTGTTTATGCATTTCACCACAGATATCCCCTGCCTTAATGTTTTGGTGCCTCTGCCAGAGGAAAAGGAGTGTGGTCTGTCACTCCGAGCTTTAACTGTAGTTAAAAAAAGAGCAAGTGAATCTGTGAATGTGTGTGCGGGGGAGTGTGTGGGGGTGTGGATGAAGGACAGAATAGCTCCTCCCTGATCCTGTTTTTATACAATTTATAATGATTTATTTAAAGGTGCAATATATGATTTACTGAATAATTCTCACTCTAATAGAGTTTTTCTCAGGTTGGTGTCTTTTTATCATTGTTGTTGTTTTTCCTCAAACATATAAATCTGTGAAAATGCTGAAACTAAGGTTCCAAGTGTTCAAGCACTCCCAAACGGATCACCTGGCTTTCCTGTTTCTACCAAAAGACATAGCACAAAATTCTGCTGTAAAGACAAATTTCTTGGTTGTTTTAGCCATTCAAAACTGAGACACATCTTACCTGCCAGCATCTCACTGATCCAGTGTAATTGTTTTGTAATTATTTGCAATATACTGCTGCTTTTGTTTTGGCTGGTCCTTTTAGAAACTGAAGGAACAAGCAGAAATCCCCTGTTTGCTGATTTCACAAGTCAAAGATGAGATTGGATTTATTTTGCTGGTACATAACGGTTAGACTTGGGAAGGCATTACCAATGAAGGACTTAGGTAGCTTGGGGTGGGGGGAGGGTGTGTTTTTGGTCTTTGGATCGTTGCACTGGTTGCATTGTAGATAAATATGAAGTTTATGAATAATGCTATAGAATAGCTATAAAGCAGGGAAAAAAATCTTATGAAGGTTTAATAACCAGAGTCCCTGGAATTCTGCTGCTTTTTTGTTGTTGTTGTTTTGGGGGTTTTTCTTTGTTTTAGTAGAGTTGTCAGGAAACGCTACAGATGCTAGGAGTATATGTGGCTTTACATTGGAACCTGGCAACCTCACAGGATCCAATGTCAGCTGAAGGAGAACATAGGAATTCCTGGTGCACAACTGTAACTTTACAAATATCCTGAGGAATTTTTTACAGCCTGGTGTGAAACTGTGGTGTGCTCTGAGCAAAACTGGAGGACCAAACCACAGTGCACTTTTGGTTGTTAGGTTTTGAGGTCTGGTTTTGTTGTTTGTTTTTCTGTTTTGTTTTTTTGTTGTTTTGATTTTTGGGGGGTTTTTTTGTAAACAGCCACTTGTGGGTTCTTGAATATAATTTTGTTTCTCTTTCTCTGGAAATACTTTAAAAACTCTCATCATGAGGTTCATGATCCTGCCCAGCTTCATCCAAACTGGCAGCCCACAAAGTGGATCTCTCATTTGCATTCTTCCTAAGCTGCTGTCAGATGACAAAGATAAACCACTTGCACCAAAACAGAACCATTCCAAAAGAACTGGGAGGGAGGAAACTCTGCCCTTTACAGTCATGTTATTTTCTTTAACTCTTACTCTTTTGATTACTGCACACCTGTGCAGAGCATAGAGCCAGTATTTGTTACTCCAGGTTTCCCAAGAACTTGCTGCCGTAGGGTGGCAAGTGCTCTTTTGCTTCAGAAAGCCCTTGTTTTGTATAGCATAGAGGAGAGGGAGATGAGTCTTCCATGCTGGATGATGTTGTTTCTATTCTGTTGCAGCAAAACACCAGAAAATGAGCTAGGATAGTATGTGTTTCTGCCTAACCACTGCCCAGATCCTCTTAGAGAAAACAGATGGATCTGTCCAATTACTTTGGTGTTGGAAGCAGGCATCAAATTCTCTCATGTGCCACCATCTAATGAGTATCCATTTTTAAAGAACTCTGTGCAGGTGTTTTTCCAAAACTGATTGTTTTGGAAGCTGTGAGAAGGGACTGAAGGTTGAATTAAATGACTTCTTAATTCTGTGTCTGGGTGGAAAAAGTTGGTAAGGCTTCAACTGTTGTAAAACTAAAGTTAGGTGTAGTGTCAGTGTGAATAAGTAGGACATTCCTTATAGGATGTCTCTGCAGGAAAAGGACTACAGGTAATGCTACACTACCTTGTGGATCTGTCTTGGTCAAGATGACTTGAATTCCTGCAAAAGTTTTCTCCCTGCCCTCTGATGTTCTCTGTGTTATAGTTGCTGAGATCTGTCTCTTTGGTCAGTGTTTTCTCTCACTGTTGCTTATTTAAAGCTGTCCACTGGAAGCTCCACTGTGTGACAATTGCATCTCTTGCATTTCTGTTTGACTGTTTCTTCCCATTTGGAGCCTGCTTAAGAAGGGAAAAGTTGATGTGTTTCAAATAAGTGACTGAATATCTTGAAATGATGTATAAATTTTATTGTTTTCATATTTGTTGTACAGGAAATTTCAGTACATGTCTGCAATATTTTTAATGGTTTGATTTCTTCTTAAAAATACAAAAATAACAATTAAAAAGCATCATCCTAGAGCACTTTTTGTCTTATTTTTCCTTTACTGGGATTTTGTTTTGAATAAAATTAATTTGCTAAAATATCCATTTCATTTAGAAGGGCTTTATAAATGGAAAGTGGGCTCCCCTCTTCTGGGATGGCACTTGAATCAGTTGTGTAGTGTAGTCACTGGAGCTCCCTGGGATGATGTTAATCTCTCATTCAGACTTCCCTGGCAGGCCCTGAGTCTGAAGTTCATGTGTCCTGGCAGTTGGTAGCTTCTCCAAATGAAGAGCTTGATACCAGAAAGAAACAGGACCATCATCCAAGGTCCATCAAAGATTTCCATTTGCTAAAATAGCCTTGGGGGAGGACCGGTGTTTCTAAGACTTGATTGCCTCCAGAGAAACAAGAATGAGGACTTTTTAATCTTTGAAGACGTTGTGTTTTCTGGAGGTGGTGATAGAAGGGGATGCAGAAATATCTCTGTAATGTTATAGCTGGCTGCTGGATTACAGATCACCTGTCTGTAGAGGCATAGAAAATTATCTCAGTTAAGTGTCTTTCTCCTAAAAATCTTAGTTGCCATTCCTAGCTGCCATCTGAATCACTACCGAGGAGGATCACATGCTTGGAGGGTGATATTGGCACTCAGCATCTCTCCAGTTCATCACAGGATACTTACACTAAACTACAATCTTGTGATCCTCTGTGGCAATTGCTGTGTTTTCTGAAAAGACTGCATGGTGAGATGGGAAGCCAAGTGTGATTGTCTTGTCATTGTCCAGTGGGATCATGTGCAAGCCACGTGATGGTGGTCTTATCCTTGTGATATTAGGACTTCAGGAAAGCCAACTGTTCTGGCTGCCTCTTGGAGCCTTAGTAGACCTGAACCTGAATATCTGAAAATCACATTCTGTACCTGGTCTTGTCATGTATTAGTTTTACTGCCTTGGAGACTAAAGAGATGGAGGTCAGAGAGGAGAGGATGTAATGTTTCTGTCCTGTTCTTGGCTTGATAAATGGGATATATTGATGCTGCCTGTGCATGCCCTTCCTGGCTGGGTGTTATCAGGCAGCAGATAGAGTTCGGACATGAACATGTGGGTGTTTTTGTGGAAGAGGGTAAGGAATAGGGGCTTGGGAGGGAAGAACACCAGAAAACTTTGCACAGTGTGCTATTCTGAAGCAAAAATAAAAAAACCCCAAGGTCCTAACAGCTCCTGAATGTTCTGGGTAAAAAGTAATTAAAAATGCAGATGCAATCACTATGGTCATGGGCTGGAATGAGGGGCAAGCAAAGATTAAGTTTACTTGCTTCTGAGGTGGGTAGGTACAGTGTTCCCCACTTCCTGTACTCACCAGTGAAGTTACTGTACTTCCTATCTTCTTTTACTGTTGCACTGCTTCAGGGAGTCACGTAAGAGCTTGCGGTGTTGAAAAACCTCTGCCTGCAAACTGTTCAATTTTCAGCACTTTGCAGAAGTGTTTCTGATGTTGGTACCAAACAATGGCTCTCTCCAATCTTGTGTTTCATTCCATGTTTGTTACCCTTGGACTCGGCAAACCCCTTGCCTGTGCCAGCCTCCTGCCTGCGAGGGAGAAGGAGGTAAATGAAGCAGAAAACCTGAGTTGGAAGCACCAGGAGGAGCTGCTTCCTGCCAGCATTGTTGGCTGAAGGAGCTGTTAGTACATCTCATGTGGGGGAGAAGCTGGGAGCCCTTCTCAAGCTATTTCTTAGATCTGAAGGAAAAGATGATGAATCCAGGCCTGTTCTTCTTAGTCCCTGTAACTTAGCAGAACCCCATTTATTCACTCAAGTTGCTTTCCCTGGGTTTATTTCATTTTAAATTAATATACATAATTTCCTGACAGTCAGAAGTGAAGCTAGCAAATTATCCCTTTTTGCTAAGAAAAGAGTCTAGTTTGATCCCAAGTGAGTTACTTGAATTCACATTTTTATCTCCAATTTTCCTAGTAACCAGAGAAAAGCCAGATTGTTTGGAGCAATGTTCTAAGTCTAGTGTTGATGCCTCATGGACATTCCTGGTATATTAATAACGCTGACAAGATTGCTAGGGATACATAAGAACTGTGTACACAGTGTGTGATGGACAGAGCACTCTTCAGACACAGTACCAGGCTGTTGCCCTTGCTTCACAGCAGGGCAGGATAGACAGGAAATTATGGATCCTCTCTAAGAGATTTCTAGACTTGTTTTACTTTTTGTCTGGCAGATTTTTAATGTGGTGCTTCCAGTGTCAGGAATATGCTATCGTAAGGAAAACAGGCTTTTTGATAATGCTCTAATGCTAGCTCTGATTAAGGTACGTATCTGCCTAAAACGTCATTGTTGTCACTCCAGAAGGGAAATGTATCCTGTTCATTTCTGGTTTAAGCCTCCAGATGGCACATGATACCGCTGGTGTTTCCACGGAAAGCTTTCCCTGCCAGGCTGCTCCTTGCTGACTTCCTTCCCAGATTCTGATAACCTTCCTCCAGTCCTTGGGCTGTTTCCTCTTCCTTGCCCTGGCCCATGTCACTCCTTAAGCCCAGGCCACTGTGCCTATGTATGGCCATCTGCCTGCTCTGCAGGGATATGTAGAGTGTTGTACACCTGATTAGGTCATTTTTTTCAGAAACTCCTAAGCTCAGCAATAGCCTGATAATGCCAAATAGTCCATTGCTACCTCAGGAAGTACTTTTATGCTTCATTGTTGCTGATACCTAGGCATTTTCTGATGGTGTGTGTATTCCAAGGTGTAAGGGCTCTGACTGGCACCAGCATGGAGCTGGTTATTCAGAATTACCAGCTGTGTGCTCATTTCCCAGCTTATGAGTCTGTTCTACAGCTGTTCCCAGTAATAATAGATTTATGGGATTGCTGAACACAGTGCAGGTACATCAGTAAAGGCAGCAAACAATGACGTACTTGCT